ATATATATATATAACAAATTTGATCATTTTAAACACAAATCAATTTATTGGGGTATGAATAAGCCAAATAAAATATTGGGGGGGGGGGACTGTGTTTATATTAAGGACTTAAGTTGCTGTTTATACCTATCAAATGTCTAACACACATACATATTTACATGCATAATACATGTGCACAAATATAAAATTGCTTTATTGATCTGAATATTGTATGACCTCTCAAGTTGCCATTTTTGACATTAGCAGCAAAGCATTTTCTTTGTACGGGTCTGACTGCTTAGTAGAATGAAGTTTGAAGGGCAAGCATGGAAGGTTTCACAGCAGTTTACCCTTAGAAGTGTCCGAGTCCCTTTCTGTTTTTTGGGACGTTAGTAGTTATGAGCAAAATTGTTGCAAAAAGTACTTCTTAAAAGAGCAGCTCAAGTAGATGCAGCACGTTTTGAATTCATACCTCTGATTCACACTTTGTACACCTGGGACATAAGTTGCACAAAGACAGCAGGTTTAGCAGAACTGGTCAAATGCAACTATTTTGTACTACATGTCTGTGGTTTCAACTCCCTGCCAAGCTGGAAAACTAAAAATAAAACATGCAATGTTGCCCCCTAGGGAGCCATGGGTGAATTTGCAAAGGCTGTAGTGTGTGTTGGCAGGGGAGCGCTCGGAAACAAACGCACGGAAATCCAGGCGAAGGCAGTAAGAGCGGAGCGGTACTGATGGACGAGTGCTGTCCAGGGCCGTGATGGACGCTGGGCTAAGCTGATTATGGGGCAGCAGATTAGGGTGCTGTACTGCCAGTAGGACAGGGGCCTATTGTCCTCACTCTGTGTGACAGCAGAATGGGGATTATACTTCTATAATCTGGTCACAAGTCTGGAGAACAGTAACAATGCAAAGAAATATATATTTTCTAAAATGTTTTATTGGTATTTTTAGAATCCAGACTATTCAGTAACATCTCAACGGCGGTGACATGAAGCTAGTCCAAACAACACTTCCAACACAACCCTCATCGCTGTTTGGCGTTACTTTGGTAATGCAGCAGTGGGGGACTTTTATGGGTGAATGTATGAAAAGAACATTTATGTAGCCAGGAAAGTCCTGTTGAGATTAGAAAGGCCTGAGTTGGGGAAACTAGCCAGGAAGGTAGCAGACTAAACTTAGTCCAGATGGAGCGATGCAAACTTTCAGAATACAACAGAAGTGTAGGAGTGAGGCTTATGCGGGATCAGTTTATCGTTCCACAAACTTCAAAGAGTTGTGCGTATGAGCATGTCGCTGCAGCCTTGACTGCTGCTCTTTTTCTTAACATGAAAGTATCTGTGTGTCCCTGCCTAGGGATCGATGTGCAGATTTATGTGGTGAAATCTATAAAAATGGTGGGTGTGCGGGTGGGGATCCTATGTCCGATGCTGCATTTCAGCATTGATTTCTCTTTTCTCCAGTTTGAACAAAGTAAAGATGAGGCTTAGTAAAGATGAGGCTTAGTAAAGATGAGGCTTAGTAAAGAAGCAGTCCTTCATACAGTCGTGCATATGTGTGTTCCCAGGCTCTCTGCTGATTAATAAAAATCATGCAGTTTCTGGATTAATGTTGTGGGGTGGAAGTCAAAGTCAAAAATGCAAGGTTTGAGGGGCATAAAGTACATAATTTAAAAGGATAGATATGCTCTCCGGTTGTCTAACATGGGTTTTATATGGGAATTGTAATAAATCTCAAATCCTAAATTGCATTACTTAAACGTTTGCATGAAATGCAAATGACTAAATACAGCAACAGCGCCATTATTTCCCCGTAACAGTCAAGAAAAATACTAAATTACTATTTATTTAAGGTTAATAAAATGACAGGTGGCACAATGAAAAGGTCTGACCGCCTTCCTATTGTGTTTTTAAATAAATAGTTTACAGAGAATATAGCCTTCGGTCTAAAGGGTTAATCTGAGTCCTACAGTAACATGTCTAACAATGACGGCACATTTACTGCAAAGTCTCTGACAGGGGACAGATAATGCAGGTCACAAGTATCACACCAGCCCTGTATATTTCACTGGTGAGCTCAATACCTCACTCTAGGGAAATGGTGTGTTATCCGTTATCCTAGCCCTTCAATTCCAGCCAAATAGCAGTGCATGAAATCACTCTCCGTAACCACTTGTCCCAGCCACGATCGATAGCTAGTGAATCTGGTGCATTCTGCATCGTAAACATGCTTTTCGCCCTGGACTGTTGGTAGGTAGAGATTAGAACTGGGACAACGGGCTAAAAAAGTCCCTAGACATCTGCTTCATTGCAGTAGATATACACTTAAAAAATAAAAATGTCCAGCGACGGTTCCCAAATTAGCTCCCGCACCCAAAAGAATCGCAGTCGGTGATCCAGGTTGTTCCAAGTCCATAAAGCATCATATTCCTCTTTTTCATGCTGATCTGCTGCAGGTAATAAATGGACTTGTATCACCTTATCTTCTGGTGATAACTTTCAGATTCAATAGGGAGTCAAAAGTGGCTGTTAGTTTCACCTATACAATAGCCCAATTATTCAAGCAGGATTGCCTAAAGCAACATACATTCCCATTCGTTTTTTTTCTTTCTTGTTTTTAAGCAAAGGGCTGGTTTGCACTCCCAACTTCTGCCATTCAAAATAGCCACTTCCCCAAAAACAGGCCGTGTCATTAACTGCCACTTCATGTTTGAAAGGGGATTGTTTTAATCTGAAAAGTCTTTACGGTTTTGGCCTTAAGTATTTCAGAGACATCCTCAATGATATACTATCACACACTGAAACTACCAGTATTTCCCCCTATTGCCTGTGCCTATCTCATAATCTAACAGAGTGGACTGATCCGTGTTCACACAGAGCAGATCACCTCATGCACAAGGGCTAATACAAGCAGGAATGTATAATATTCTCTTTTTTTGTCTCATAGCTTATGGCAGACCTAGCGGTAATACTGTAAGTATTTAGAGGGACTAAACTGTCTGGAACAATGACATGAACTTTCAGGTCTCCCTGTTTAGTTGTTGCACGTTTCCTTAACAGTAACACTTTTCTGTTACTTCAGATAGGGCAGTGGAGGGCCACTGTTTATCTCCTGGGCCCTTGCAGGCTAATAAAGTGTGAGAAGGCTGGCATTTGGCAGTCTAGTATACACTGGTAAATGCATTCCACAGCAATTATTTTTGTTTTGTTTTTTTTTTGGTTTCTTTGTTTTAAGGCTCTGCTCAGGTGCAGGGAAAAGCGCGCAGGGGCAGTTATTTGTTGGTGTTGCCTGACCTCGGCGCGACCTGGAGGCCTGCAATCTGGGGCTGTAGGCCCAGTGAGTGAAGCAGGACTCTGCAGCCAGTGCTGTCCAGGCTGGCCTCGTAGCAGAGGCTCAGATAACATGCCCCCAACTCTGCAGCAGCTCTGTAAGATGGCAGAAAAGCTGCACTGCCTGCAGCGTTTGGAATCTTTCACAAATGTATACAACAATCACATTTCACTGCAAAAAAAAAAAAAAAAGTTCAGTTCAATCTCTCCTGTACTTCCAGTCTCGTGTTACTCTGTGGAATATGCATAATAAAAAAAGCTTTAACGGAAAAAAAAAAAACAGAAAAACATGGAAAATTCCAACATATCCTACGGAAATGTTTAGGATGAGCGCATAAGTCTGTATGCTTATTTTTGAATATTAAAGGCCAGATTTTAAATAGAGGTAGCTAAATTGCAAAATTTTGATTTCTTGGCACCATTTAAGCAAGACTAAAAACTTTATATAAAAAATGAGATGAAGTGATTGGAGTCACAGCCGTATAACGAAAGTGAAATATTGTTCGTCATTGGACAAGGCTGGCAGGAACCTTCAGTTTAAGCGATTCGTCCATAGCAGGTGTTTCCAATACATTCCCCATTTTCCTTCTTAATCTGCCACTTTGCCACGGATTCTGAAGATTCGACCGCCGTCCGTCAGCAGCCACCACCTGGCATGTAATCTGCCTTGAGAACTTCCTTCTGATTGATCTTCATATCGAATGTTCTGCTGTGACGTAAATAAAAAAGGCAGAACCTGCCGGGGGGGGGTGAGCCACTCCTGGCCTCCCTTGACCCCAGTCCAGCGGCTTCCCTTCTCAATACTGGCGCAGGCTGAAGAAGCCCACGCTTGTCGGAGACTCCTTGACGGTCACCGTGACCAGGTTAGCCGTGACGTCGGTGACGAACACGTGTTCGATTAGGCTTCGCGTGGGCTTCCAGTCCTGGCCGGGCTGCACGGAGACGCTCAGGTTCTGTGCAGGGCTGGGCAGGGGAGAGTCGTGCTCGGAGTCCGAGCTGGACTCCTCTTCCCCTGTGCTCATCTCGCTCAGCACTTTCCCCGGCTTCCCGCCGTCTTTCGAGGACGGCCTCCGCCCCCTGCCCCTGGCAGCCGGGGACTCTGTAGAAGGCTTGGCCTCGGGTCTCCTCGATTTCTTGGCCTGTCTGTCTGTCCCCAGCCCCAGCTCTCCGGCCTCTGTAACCCTACCCTGCCCCCCACCCAAGCCCCTTCTGGTTTGCTGGCCCCCACCCCCCGTTCCCGGGTTCTGGGACGGGCCCTTCCGGGCTGGGTTGGCAGTACCATTGCCCGTAGAGACACAGCCCTGTGTCTGCCTGCTAACACTCTGCAGGTTCAGGCCCTGCAAGCTGAGAGCCTGAAGTCCAGGGCCCTTTGACAGGGGCTGAGCAGCAGTGCGAGGCGAGAGGGTCTGGGCTGGAGTCTCTTGTTTCCTCTGCCCATTGGGGGTTCCAGCAGCAGAGGAGGCCGTTCCCTGCCCCCCGCCGCCACCACAGGAGACCTTGGCATTATGCAGGTTGAGAGCCGCCACCCCGGGCGACTTGGAGGTTGTGATCCTCAGGTCCAGGTCTGAGCCACTGCCCACGTCCGAGACGGACAGCTTGAAATCTGGTGTGGCCTTGTTCTGAGGGACGCGGCTCACAGGGGAGGTGGCTGTGGGACGGGTTGGGCCCACGGCCCCCAAAGGATTCCGTACCGCCTGTGAGAATGAGCCTCTGCTCTGGGCCCCGGATGGCTCTCTTGCTCCACCCACCCTGCTCATGCCTGTGTAGGTAAAACTAGCAGGCTGCAGGGGTTTCTTGATCGGCGTCTTGGATTCCTGGGTCTGTGACAGTAGCTCCCTCTCCCTGGCAGCTGGCCTCAGAAGCTTCCGGGCTCCCTTGCTCTGTCGAAGTGCCTTCAGCTCTGGTGGCAATGCCTTTCTCCCACGCTTCTTCTTCACGGGTTCCTGCTTGGCCACCACGATCTGGGCCTTCTTCTGGGGCACGGGGTGCAGCTCGCGGCCCCGCTGCCCAGCCTTCACCTTCGCCTCCTCGCCATCGTTGTCGTCGTCGTCAGACGACGACGAGGACGATGACGAGGATGACGACGACGACGAGGAAGATGAGCTGGAGGATGAGGAGGATGAAGAGCTACTTGATTTTGTCGCCGCTGGAACAGCTTCCTAAACAGATAAACAGGAATGATTAGAGTAACTGCCGATGTATGACATGAAAGCATTTGGCATAAATGACATTTGCATTCCTACCATGATTTTACGGGGTCTCCCCCTTGGCCGTTTGCCTCGCTTGCGGAACAAAATCTCCTTCTCTTGTTCTCTGGAATCACAGAAGACTGCTTCAACAAAAAGAACAAACTTTTGTCTAGTGATGTTAGAACAGACTAAAGCAAATGAGAAACAGTGGGTGTCATTGCTCTGTCTAGAAAGTGGAATTCAAGCTGATTTGACACCAGACAGCACATTGAAATATCTGGATATTTGCTGCGGTCGTCCAACTTTTACCTCCTTACCTCCATCTTTTACCTCCTTACCTCCATCTTTTACGATACTTGGTTGTGTCCCCCAGTTTGCCAGTTTTGTGAATAATTTCATATTTTCCTAACAGCATCCAGTATTTCCTCCACCGTCTAAATTATGTGGATTCTATACATCTTCTCTTACACTTTGAACCTTCTGCGTTTAACTTGTTTTAAACGCTTTGCGGATGCCAACAAACCGTGGACGTTTCACAGCCCCTGCTATGACTCACTTTTCCCAAAGATCAATGCCAATTATCTGCTCTTGGTCAGTGCATTGCTATTATGCATCTCCCCAGGAGAAGTGTTGCACCCTGCATTTCTGCTGGTATGGTGACCCTCCTTCCCCTCCCCCCTCCACAGGAGGGTCTCAGACTCACCTCTTGTGGAATGCTGCCAGCAGCCTCGGGTCCAGAATGTTCTCCTGGGGCTCCCAGCTGTTGTGCCTGGAACAGAGAAACACGATAAATTTGCAGCGCTAAACCCACCGATTTTTAATGTCTGTTTGAATTCAGTTTGAGCTATTTCACCGGGAGACGTAGGTTAAATGCGTAGAGACCGCATGGTATCACTGACAAAGTTAAAACATTTTCTATAAAAAATGGGCCAACTTTGATATACAAAGTGGGCTGATGAGGCAAAGATGAGTCTATTTGAATACGCCCGTGGGACTTGAAACCTTTCACCTACCCTCGCATTATGGTGAACGGGACTTTTGAAAAATTGAGGGGAAATACCCTATGAATCTAATCTTAAGCCGAATATGATGATCATACTCATACATGCAATTTGTTTAACCTGTAACCTTCTGTAAACCTGTGTTGTCTTTCCGTTCATTACTTAAGCTATTAAACGTTACCGGTGTGTGCCTTGAGACGTCCCGATAACTAAACATCCCATACGTTTGTCTAAAACCCATGTGCAACATAAAGTTATTTAAAACATGGGTGGTCTAACTTATCCAGAAACGGTCGCTGTATTTCGCTGCAACTCCCTAATTAGACTACTAATTAGAGGACTAATAGGCTGAAGAGTCCTCACACCTGGGTTTGAACAGCTGACCTAAAGGTCACCCCAAAAACCTCCATACACACCGGCCCTTTGCGGATAAGAGTGCCCACCCTCGACTCAAAAACTTCTCAGCCTGAAAGTTCATTAATACTAGCGTCGACACGTTGTTTAAAACTCCCCTGGGCTGACAACTTTTCCATTGATATCCTAACAATGGTGATCGGTTCCCCTGGCAAAACGTGCATGACAGATGGAGGGCGTCGATATGATTCACACAACCATGTGCCCGATTAACGTAACGACCGCAGCCGTGAAGCGTGAGAGAATTAAGTTATGAAACTTAATTTAATTAAGCAGCTACGAAGAAGAGCAGGCAGGCGCAGCCCGCCGAGGGGGTTTTGAAACGGTCCACGTTGGGTGCAGCAGCGGGGGGTCTGAAGGCAGCATGTCCGTCTCGGGACAGAGAAACGATACGACCAAATTTACACAAAAACCGAAAGAAGCGGAGTACAGAGCGTGTGGACCTACAGCTAGTGCACGAAGTGCGTTTACTTAAGCCCACGCAAAATGATGGGAAGAGACAATTACATTTTTTCTTCAAATTAAACATTCAAATATAGTTCACTTTTCGTAATTAGAAAAAACATTATAACCGTACATTCTTTTTATAACTGTAAAACGGCGACACCTGAAAATACTGAAGATGTTGGGGCACGATACTTAAAAATAGCGCGCTACCAATCTAGCGATTTCAAACATGGCCAATATATTGATGCACATCTATATCCAACTACAAAAGAGAGTATACGTCAGATTTACATTTTCCCGAGAAAGGGCTTGTATCTTTACAAGACAGGGTTGGCATTTCTAACCACATTTTTTGCAAGCTTTCAACGGCTAGGTAGCTAATAATCATCCACAAAACTTGGCAAGTCTTACAAAAACTAATATTCCGTCAAAAATCACACCACACTGCTGTTTTTTTTGCAGTTGCCTAAACATGCAAAAGCAGACTAACAAGTAAGTTGGGCAACAAATTGCCAAGTTAGTGTTCGGGCTTCTTGCAACGCGAGAGCAACAAGCGGTGCGTTGTTGTTGTTTTTCATTGTTTGAGGCTGATCCAGCAGCTGCAGCTGCGCTTCCACTTACTTGGATGACCATCCTCTCCACTTCACCAGATACTCCAACTTTCCCTGCAAAAAAACAACCGTGAAAATGTCACACAGGCAGTCGGAACTGTGTTCGAGGATCCGCGATGTGCTATTACATTATTTCCAACCTTTCTCAGGCGTTTGTTGAGGATGCATTCGGCATCAAAAACCTGTTCCCCCACGGCGCTCAACTCCTCCATGACTGCGGTCGATAGCTACAATTCAAACCCTCTTTTATGAAAAGGGGGCGGAAAGAAAACAAAGCATGAAGTTTGTCCCTTGGCGAATGCCGTCCGTAGTTATCGCATAACCACTCCGTAGCTTTTGCCGTTGCCTTTTGAGCCGTGGTTTAGAGTCGGCAATGCTGCATGTTAGCGCGTTAAAACCTAAATTTTATATTATAAAATGTCACTTGCTAATTTCTTTTTCATCTGTTTGCATGCGATTGTTAGCTTTTCTAGACTGAACGTGCTGAACTCAAGTTAGTCTTGATTTTATATAGGCTAATGTGGCTCGCAGAATTATATAAGCTATACTTTCGCTGTTATTTATTACTTACGTTAAACAATGTTAACTTATTTTGAAAAATGTTATATGATTATTGGACAGGACTGTAATTGGTTATCTGTCCTACTCAAGGAAAATGTCAGTTAATAGCAAGTAAGGAGTAGGTAGCAATTACAAACTATAACGAGAACAATTCCCATTTTATGTATTTGTGTGTGTAGTTATAATTTGTTGTGTGTGTGTGTGTGTGTGTGTGTGTGTGTGTGTGTATGTATGTGTTTATACATATATGGGGGCATGTAGCCAGACCGAATTATGAGGTGTACGTGCTCCAGAATGACTTGGCAATGGAACATTTCCGAGCAGATTGTATTTCACTCACTTGTATTTCATGAAATGCAACTTAATAACTTTTGCATAATTATATCTCGCATGCGTATAAAGCGAAGCGTAATGTTTTGGTTTTTTTGTGAATACCGATACAAAGATGCATTCATTCATCAACATAGTCCAAGTGGGGGTTTCTCACTACTTGGTAATATTATAATTTATAGTAATCGCTCCTGACGCTTTCGCGCCAAGTTTATTAAAAATGTAGTTTGGACCTATTCAGCCGTTAAACTTAGCAGAAATGATAAAGGTATGTTGATTATACCGCCTACCTGGGATAGACTTTCAATGGGATGTCTACAAATTATAATGTAATATGGTCATATGTTGTGGAAGGGGGAAATTTAAGTTAGATTCAGTAAGATATTCAAAAGAGTTCTGTGATGATCTTGTTTTTCAGAGGTAATTTTGCATTCTTAAACTATTAAATGCGGTTTAAAGATCTTTATTTATCCCGAGGTTTAAGGTTTAGATGCGGTCTGGTCCTACATAATGAATACATGCACTTAATTCCCTATGTGATTTGTTGCTCTTTGCTTTTTAACTCGTTGATCTTGTCAGTTTGTTTACTCTTCATGTATCCTTAGCTATCTCCAGCTTTGGACAGTCTGTTAAAGAAAAAAACAACATTCCAGATTTACTTAAAATAATATTTATTTCTCTACCATTAGATGGCATTGTTATAGTTTATTGTATGTTGGGCCTTCATATGTGCATAAAAGAAACAAAGCTACACAACTGACAATAATCCCTCATTAAGGATCATCCTTTGTTCCTTCATTCATTGACTTGATTTGCTTTGGGCAGTTGCACCTGCTAACTGATGCTTCAGCAATCATGAAACACATCTTACTGGGTGTTTTGTCTTCTGCTTGTTAGTGAATACACAACTGCGTCGAGCAGGCTGTATGCCAGGGGAAGATTCTTTTATTATTCGCTGTGGGGGAGGAACTAGACCCAGTCTTTAATCCTGGGCAGACAGATGTTATTCTACTCCAAAGTGTAATTTAATGTTGTCTCGTCTTGTCTTTAGGCAAGCCTTCCTCACATGGTACTTTGCTTGATTTGGACATCATTTTCATTGGCTTCCTCAGAGCTGCAATACAGGAAGTGATGTCATTATTGGAGGAGTGATCAGCCATTGCTATATCGAAATAACAATAATAAAAATCCAGATACTGAAAAATGATTTCATTTTCTGGGAAGGTACAGGTATGACTCGTTTTGTGTTCCAAGTGTAAATGCACATTCAGTGTGTGTGTAAAATGTTTAAAGTATAACCAGCCAATTGAATGCTCCCATTGACACAGATATTCTTGGCTGTTCATAGTGATAGGCTCAGAAAATATCCATCCATCCATTTTCTGTATCTGTTCATGGCCATAGGGGGCCCAGAGCCTGTGCCAGAGGTTACAGGTGCAAGGCAGAAAACAACCCAGGGTGTGGTGCCAACTCATCGCAGGGCACACTCACACGTGCCATTCATTCACACATGTACACCTATGGGAATTTGGTAACGCCGATTAAGCTCAGTTTTTGGACTGTGGGGGGGGAAACCCCAAAATGATGCAAGGAGAACATAAGAAATTTACAATTGAGAGGAGGCCTTTTGGCCCATCAAGCTTGTTTGGGGAGAACTTAACTAATAGCTCAGAGTTGTTAAAATCTTATCTAGCTCTGATTTTAAAGGAACCTGGGTTTTAGCTTCCGCTACACTAGCAGGAAGACTGCATGCACACTTCACCCATGGAGCAATGGCAGAGACTCAAACCCTGGTCCCAGAGGTGTGAGGCAACAGTGTTACCCACTGCAGCACCATGCTGCCACCAAGGGAAAGTATTTAGATGGAAAATTGTAACTGAAAAAAATAGTTGGTAAAGTGAACTGCCAGTTCATTTCCCATCTTGACAGTCATAGTGACAGTATTTTACTTTAATGAACATTTGCTGAAAACTGTGAATCTTCCCACGGAAAGTCATTGTCATGAATTGTCAGCATGTGGGAGGAGCAATGACATGTAAATTATCCAATCAACTTGGCCCTGCCGCGTCCCCTTTGTGGTGGTGAACTGCCGCGTCCCCTTTGTGGTGGTGAACCGCGCTCCATAGTTGTGTGGTCACGGCAAATGGTTCTGCACAGACGTGGTGGACTTACAAATCAAGGGTGAATGGAAATGACATACCTCTCCCTTGGCTTTCGTCGACGGTACCTGGTATACGATACGACGACCACAAACACGATAACCAGAATGCCAGCAACGACTCCCAGACCGATTAGTGCATTAAATAAGATGGAGTTCTCAGACCCTGTAAGACATGGAAGGATCTGTAAAACACTGGGAAAAAAAATAACGGGTAGCTGTCCAAGATCTGCCCAATTTAAATTTATGATGTTCATGGGACATTTTTAGACTCTGGTTTATACCTGACAATGTTAAAGTGATGTTAATATGAACATGGGGGGGGGGGGGGTGAAAACACAGCAGTAATACATAGATGCTGCTGATCCATTCTGACCTCCAGATGGTTCAGTTTGCTGACCAGACGCTAGCATGTGGCGGGTGGCATCCAGGTGACCGTCGTTCTTCTCTGGGGTGATGCCTAGCAGGTGGCACATTAGGGCGTAGATGTGGATCGTCTCAAAGGGCTCCACTGTTAGGTTCTGCTGGAAGTCGGGCCCCACGGCCCGGAAGAATGGCTTCATGTCCATGGCCTGGTTGTCGAAGCCGTGCTCCCCTTTGTTGGACTGCACAGGAAATATCTGGAGGATGCAGAGCAGTGAAGTTAAAACGCCAGTGTAGGATGTGCAGTGAAGTTAAAACGCCAGTGTAGGATGTGCAGTGAAGTTAAAACGCCAGTGTAGGATGTGCAGTGAAGTTAAAACGCCAGTGTAGGATGTGCAGTGAAGTTAAAACGGAGGGAGCATTTCCAGCAAAATCTCAGTGCATTCTACACACATTCAGAGCTTTTTAGAAGTGCTTTATTATCTACAACTAACGGGCAACAGCGATGTTGCTCTTCTGGAGACGTCACTCACCCCGTTGACGACATATCCAGGGTCAGCGATTAGCACCAGGGGCAGAATGCGTGGGTGCCTTGAATAGTGCATGTGAGCTGGTAGCTCCTCTTTTCTGTACACATGCAGGTGTGGGTGCGCCCCCTTCAGGGCAGCATGCACCTTGTCCAGTAGGCCTTCCTTGGGTAGCAACATGCCAACCGGCCCATAATCCAGCAGCTGAAAGTCCAAGTCACGGAAGGAGAAGCCGGGGATCTTGGAAAGGAGGATCTGATTGACCTGGCTGCCCCTCACAATGGTGCTCATGCCGTGATCGGCTGTGATGATGATGTTGAGTCGCTCGGCGAGCCCGTGCGACTGGGCGGAGCTGCGCAGGTAGCCTACTGTGCGGTCCACCTGGCTGACCATGGCCCTGCGTTCCGGTGAGTCCGGCCCATACTTGTGTCCTGTGCCGTCAGGCTCCCCGAAGTACAAGGAAACAAAGTCCAGGTCAAGTTTGCCGAACCAGGAGCCCATCACTGTGTCCACATTCTCCCGCCAGGCCGTTTCGTTGGAGTAGTTATATAAAGCGGGTTCCACCTCTCCCACCAGTGCCTTCTGACCTTGGTAGCTTGATGCCGTACCAGGGAAGTGAAGCGATCCTGCCTTAAGACCCTGGTAAGATAGGAGAACCTCAGGTTGATGAACAGAGCAGTAAAACGACTGGTTCTATGACGGTGTTTCCCAATCCAGTGCTCGGGGACCCACAGTGACGTTATGGACCGACTGTGGGTCCCAGAGGACGAGGTCAGGAAGCACTGCTCTAGGACAAGTGGGTCTGTTTCAAGTTTAAGTAAATCATGTCAGTTCATTATTCTTACAGCCATGGACATAATAAACTTTGAGATCACTGAGACAGAGGTCAGTCGTGGATTTAGCGGATAATTTGGGATCACAGTCTCGCCCCAGTCTGCTTGTCTTTCTTATCTCGATAAAGGTTTTCATATTCATTTAGATTATTTTATTATGCCCGTGATTTTGCCAGCCAGAGTGTATTACATTATGAGAATGGAGCCTCCCATCCAGTTCAAAAGTTGCACTAAAGCAAGTCAGTTTAGATACAGCGAGAATCGCAAATGGTTCACAGAACATTATCTTGATTTTTACAGGAATGGCTCATAAAATTTTATCCGATCGTGAAGTTATAATTATAATCTTATTTTATAAACAGGATATTTTATCTTTATTGATCAATTGGGTTAAACAATCAAGGTCATTATATAAAGAACGTAAATTTCAAGGATAATGACCTATTGAAAAGAAGATGAAAATTTGAGTCAGATGTGCCAAATTAATCAGCCATGCACTTTTTGTTACTTACAATTTATAGTAATTCTTCATAAGTTATTGAAGCTCATAAGTCTGGAATTGGTTATGAGAGTACTTCTAATGGGTTCCATCAGTCCCCAGTCAGGTAGAATTTCAGGACTATGTTTGGAAGTCAGTGCCCTGTACAGATTTCTGCATGAGCAAATTGTAGAATTATCAAAAAACCTTAATTTGACAATGTCTGTGTTTATGAGTCTAACATTAGCAAGAACATTGAATGAAAATCCTGTCATTTTAGGTGACATTGGTATTCTGATAATTCCAGAGGGTCCAGATTTTTTTTTTTTTTTACTTTTGTAACATAAATACCTACATTGTAATGGCACAGGACTCGAACCTCCTAGCATTGTATTAAGTCTGATCACAGCGCCCCTACTGCCCAGTTTATGTACTTCACCTGTCTTTGGGCTGTGATCCAGATGGGTAGGCTGCCATTGTCCCACCACTCATCCACAAACTGTGTCGGGTAGTAGGGCTTCCTCTGCTGGGTGCTGGTGTTGAACCACATGTTGTGGATGACTCCATGGTTCTCAATGTACTGCCCTGTGAACCGCAGGTATGAAGCTTTTATGTGGTCAGGGAAATTATATAATCATTATACTGCATTACACATACCTTCACAGTGTATTATAATGCATTCATAGAGTATTATAAACCCGGCTATAACTATTCATGAAAACGCAGAACACGTTATAGGCATGTGTATCATGCATTATGAATGTTCTTTGAAGGTCTCATCTATCACACATTATAGATGCCTTCATAATGCATTATAATGGTCAGTATAAGAATTAAGGATGTTGTGTGCTGCATTATAAAGGTATCAATATTGTACTATAGATGAGAGCCTCATAAAGAATTCATAATGCATGAGAAACATGGCCGTAATGTGTTATGCCTTTTTATAAATACTTATAGCCGTGATTATAGTGCTTTATGAATGTTATAATGGATTATAAGAACAGTTATTAGACTCTATGAATATGGGCTTCATAGAAAGTGTTACCAATTTGCCTTTTCATTTCAGTTCTAAAGAGTAATCTTAGACAAAATATAACACCTTGGGCATCTAAGAATCCAGTGCAATAAATCTTAACTACCATGCTGATACTAGCCTGAAAAGTGATGCAGAAATACAGTCCTGCAGCAGTAATGGTACATCGCTGCTACTAATAGATATGAGTGACACCTTTGATAATTTCAATAATTAACTCCATTTATCAATCTTCCACATGCCAGCATAGGGTCAAGGAAACCTGGGAGCCATTCTGTGGTAGAATAGGGCACAAGGCAGGAGATCTGCTAGACAGGTTGATAGCCCTTAGACAGGTTGATAGCCCTTAGACAGGCTAGACACACAATAATACTCAAAAGGTAATTTAGTGAATTCTATTAGATTTCATGAGATTTAAGTTTAATTGTCATTGGACAATGAAATACAATTTGGCGTCAAATCCGAAAGTGCAAATTAGTGCAAAAGTGCTGGAAATGGTTATGTACATGTGATAAACATAAAAATATACATCTCTACAGGGATATGCTGTACATGGTACAGAAGAATATGGTTTAGATTTTTAAAAAGATTTTAAAGTTGTAAGTGCCTGTTACGTAGATAAATCGGACTTTGAATCTGCTCTATCTGTTCACGCTATTCTGCAGAAATTTCCCGTTGACTAGTCCTGTTCAGTATTGGCCCTTGCTGTCCGGTGTGCTGACGGGGGGGGGGGGGGTTACCTGTGAGCAAGGTGAAGTGCGAGGGGCTGGTGATGGTCAGGAACGGTGGGGTCACATAAGTGGCCTTGACTCCCTCGGTTGCCATGACGTCCAGGTGAGGCGTGTCCACGTCGCGGTCGTAGTCCCAGCGAAAGCCATCGAACGAGATCAGTAAGAGTTTGTTCCGGGCCCCAGGGCCGGACCTTGCAAGCGGTGCTGCCCAGGAGAGCGCCCCCAGCTGGAGGCAGATGGCGAAGGTCCATAGCATGGCTGGAGTGGTTCTACTCTGGAGAACACACCTGGCACGCTGTGCTAGAGAACGCAGAAAGAAGTGGGTTAAATTTCTGACTCCCAGTAATTGCTTCACCTGGTAGACTGGCTTAACCTACAGAAGGCACCGAGTTCCTCAACACATGAAGTGTTAGTACTCCTGACACACCTGAGATTCTGAGCAGTTCTTATATGCGTCTTATCACAAGCTGTAGGCTATATTCGACCTGCAGGGCTCAGCAAATCATGACTTTGTACTCTAGATGTGCTTGCTTCTCCTGTTCTATTATCCTTGGCCCAAGTTCATTGAAATCTTGTTATCTCATGGGGGGGGGGGGGGTAAGCACCAGTATCCATGAGATCTACGGCAGGTAAGATAAGTTATCTAGACAAATCGCAAGGAAGATTACCAATGTCATGAACCCTAAGACAGAAAAGCAGCAAGGCCAGAGATGTATTTGGCTTTGAGTTGATTTATATAATTGTCTTATGATAAATGGGATCAATCATATGATCTGTAACTGGATGTTTTTTTTTCTCCCTGGAAATGAAGCACATCTATAAGCACCCGTTGCCATTTTATGAGCATCAGATTGGCCCAAGGCTCTCGGTGATATGAAGAATTACCAGGCAGAAAGAGAGTCTCATAACAGTCCATGCTCCTCTGCAAGGTTTAGCAATTACAGCTTCTACTACAAGTCCAGGATACACTTATTGAATGTTGGATTTGAGCTTTCTTTCAGCAAGGTATGATACAGGAATGAACTGTGAGAATAGGGCACACTTAAGACTTATGGCTGACATTCTTCAAAGAAAATGGAAAGGAAATGTAGCAGCAAACATCTAAAATCAGGATACAAGAATTACGTGCAAGGAAATGTTTTAATATCAGTAAAATTTCAGATGTTTTTAGTAGACCTTTGTGAATGCTGCATATGCAGGCATCTGTCGGGGGGTGAGGAGGTAGGATGTATCCAGAATGGAGATTAATCTCTCTGGGGGAGGGGATGTACCCCTTTGTTGTTCAACACTCGACATCACTGGTGTGGATACTGAAATCGGATGTTTTAATGATGCACTGGGCACCATCTGTAGGTAGTTGTTATGGAAACTGCAGTGACTGAACAGAAGAGTTTCTTGGCTTCCCTGATCTTATCTCCCATTTTATTCCAGGCAAGTGGGTCACGGGTGCAAGGTCCTCCCAGTAGGAGAGTTTATTGGAGCGTCTGCACCCATAGCTTAACTGGGCCCAGACGTGAGTCACGGGATGGGTAACAACCTGCCCATTCACCAGAGTATTTAAGCAGCCTTATTATTATTATTAGTAGTAGTAGTAGTAGTAGTAGGAGTAGGAGTAGGAGTAGAGGTGGTAGTGGGCTGTATAGGAGTAGTAGTAGTAGTAATCATTTAGTTTTCAGATTAAATTCATCACTTCATTTTTTGAATGAAAATGTGAGGGTTGTGGGATGAATTTATATGACACATGAGTGTAGAAGATAGATGGATGGATGGATACTTTGAAATAACTCATTAGTATAGATGTTTATTGTCATTTAAGAAAACATTTTCTCTTTTCTTTGGAATGACTTACCTTTGTAAGATGGAATTATCTTCTTTCCTCCTCAGTTTTTTATAGCCACCGGCTGCCATAGATGTGCAGCTGTAGCAGGGGGTGATGTGTAAGAGTGTAATGAAGACTCTGGAAATGGCAGTCAGTTCCCTCTTCCTCATCTTGCTAACCCAGTGGGTCAGAAGTATTGCTCGATTCATTTTTGATTAGATGAGGGTAAAGGGCTGATGGTTGTGAGCAAACCCTTTGTGTGCCGCTTGTGTGTGTTAGTCACCCCCGATTTTTAGTTTTTTCTTCCAAGCAGGATTGTCACTTTACGTTGCATGCCAAATATAAATTGGGTGCTAATTTAAAGATAACTGCAGAAGCTCTTGAAGTAATTTCCTCCTCTGTCCTGTTTCGGGACAGTGTCTTTCAGTAGGCAGCCTGCTCTCCCTTAAAGGGGAGGTTAACAGTTGACAAGCAGAATAGGGTGTGGTGGCGGTAGAGCTTTCCTTTAACCTTGATTAAAGTTGTTTTTTCATACGGCAATGCATAAGCCATTCTGACAGTAAATGGTCAAACGTTTTAAGCAAAGGATTTTACAAAGCAGTTGAAGGTGTCTTTGTTGTAGATGTAAGACTTTGAAGGAGGATATCTGAAGCGAATCATTACTCAGCCCAAGGATTCCAGACGGCCCTTGTCTTTTTCGCTCAGTTTCTCTCCCTCTCTGTCTGTCTGTCTTTCACGGGCGGATGTTGCAAACCGTACCGATAGGCACATATGCTCTCCATGAATTAATGTTTCCCACTTTCCACGGGGCAAAATGACAGGCCAAAAATACAAAGCGAATGAGCTCCGCGTTCCACCCACACCTGTCTCCCATCGCTGTCATTGCTGTGAGGCTTTTTCCTAGGCAATGCGCTTCTTTAGTTCTCATGCCTAAGAATAATTTGGGCATGTTAATTAAGAGCTGACATGAGTTAAGCCGGCGCATGTATCTTCTAAATAAATGTTGCTAATTGGGTTTCATGGATGCTAATAATAAAATCTGTGTTAATGGATGATGCAGCTTAACTAATAAACATGTTAAGCCAAGAAGAGTGATTTACTCAGACACTCTCACAGACACGAATTCACATTTAGAAAATGTAAGTCAAGAACCAGGATGGTGGATTTTGAGACTTCACCACCGGCGCCCAGAATCTGTAACAGTGGGTTTGGCACCAGCGGGTCGCTAAGTTGGCATCCCTTCAGGAGACTCTGCCCTGGGCGATAGCCCAAATTGATGTACTGGAATCCCACCTCAGGTGCCTCGTGCCCTGTGCTTCCTTCGCTGGGCCCCAGGCTCACCCTGACCCTGTCTCCTTCATACTGCTCTGCTTTTTGGTTTCCATCATGTTCTGTCTTTATTTGATCGACTCCATTTACACATTTTCACTCAACTTGACAGCATCCTGTTAATTCTGCGACACAACTTGAATAATTTAAGAACCTGAAATAAGCAGAGAGAGAGAGAGAGAGAGAGAGAGAGTCCGGGCTTTCGTCTTCTCCTTCAGCGTTTGTCAAAGAGCAGAGTGATGACCGCAGAAGAGAGGAGCTTATAGATTAGACCCACCAGCGGGGGTATGAGGTGGTGACAGGCAAAGGCACAGGGGCGTGTCACTGCATATCACTGCCTGCCAGGGAAGCATAACACTGCCAGAGGAGTCGTTAGTGGTCCATCAAGGGATAAGAGAACCCAGTGTCTTTTCTGGGATGAGGAACAGACACTGCAATGGATCAGTGTCCTCTTGAAACTCCGCCAGGGCTCACAGACATC